AGAGGTTGCTCTAGAAGTAGTTCAATAATTCCACAGTGCCCCCAAGATTCTATCTCCCACCACCACCATCTTTCTTCTATAACATCTAAGCGTCTCAGCTTCAGATTTATTGCTTATTGGTTGCAAGATAACTGTCACAGCTCCAGACATCATATTATCATATATAAAATTCCATTCTAGGGAGGCATTCCATTCTGCTCCTTCACTCAGGGACAGAATTGATTTTTTCCCCTAGGAGCCTTCTAGATTTCCCTTTATTTTTCATTGGCCTGGAAAAATAAAGACTGGGTTACGTGGCAATTTATAGCTGCAAGAGAAGCTAGGAATCTATAGGGGAAGAATGCAAGAAAGAGGTTGAAAATAGCCAGAGGTTGAGTATGCAATTAACACTGCCTCACTACACTACTCCTTTCTCAAATCTAGAAATCAAATGACAAAGAGACACAGGGTGAGAACTTATAAAGATATATGGAAAGAGTCAGGAAGAGGAGGTCACTGAGGAATGTGAAGAGGGAGGGAAAGAGTGGGATTCTAAAGGAGAAAAGAAGAGGCTCAGTTTTGGGGGGGAAATAAAATTGTATCCTCCTATACCTTTATAAGAAGGAGTGGGAGGTGAGCAGGCAAACAGATTCTAAAGAAGAGAGAATAATAAGGCTCTTAACCTCAACAAAGCCCCAAAATAGTCTCTTTGGAAAATACCCTAGAAAACCCAGGGAACACAATGAGACACCACCTTCCAGACTAGCATAAATTAAAAAGGTTTATAACACGGGCATTGAGAAGGCTGTAGAGTAACAGGAACACTTCCACCCTGCTGAGGGGCGCACCAGGAGGTTACGACAACCGTGGAAAACAAGGTAGCATGATTCTATAAGCCAGTGATCCCACTCCTAAATTTATACCACTGCATATGTGTGTCCACTGCGAGCAGGAATGTTCACAGCACACTGTTTATAAAAGAGAAGACAAAATTGGAAACAACCCAAATATCCTTGGACCAGAGAATGAATAATTAAATGGCAATTTAGTCCTACAATGAAATGCTATACACCAGCAATAACATGCATGAATCTCGGGGAAATAATGAGGGGAAAAAAGCAAATGGTAGAAGAATCTCTACAGCATGGCTCCATTTATACAGGCAGTTCCAAAAGATGCAACTTCAGACATTCTTTTGCTTCGGTAAGTACATAGAGTGGGAGAAGGATGGGCAACCTCCTGCTATGCGATTAAACTGTCTCTAAAAACCCACCAGAGCGTCAGCTATAAGTCAGTTCCAACTCGATGGTACAACAACAACAAGTACACATAGGTGGCAAAACCATAACACACAGCAATTGATGAACACAAATTTTCAGAAAGTGTTTGGTTAGCTTCAGGTGAGGGAGGCGTCCAGAGTACAGGGGACTTCAAATGGGAGAGTGACGTTCTTATTTAAGCTGAGCAGTGGCTACACAGGTGTTCCTTGTGCTCTTAGCCTTTACACAAACCCAGAAATACTTTTATACCTACTGAATAATTAATGAAGTTATATAAAAATAAGAGAACCAGGGTGAGGTGAACACATGCCTGCCAGCCCATAGCAGTGGCAGGAGACCCACTGTTTTATCACCTCTCGGAGCCTGCAAAACTCAGACAACACACACTGGACTTGTTATGGGGAAAGTCTGGCCAGTTCTGGGAGTCAGTTGGCCTGGGAAGAACCCTATGTAGGGAGGGGAACAGACTGAGATTTTAGGGTGTTGTTCCTTGAGGAACTGAGAATAATATTGAATAAGGATAGTAACTAAAAGTAAGAAGTATTTCTAAAGGAGAGCTCATCATGTGCTGCAAAATGGTTAGGCACTTAGCTGGTATCTGAAATGCAAGAGGTTCAAATCTGCCCGCAAGTGCCTTGGAAGAAAGGTGTGGCAATCTACTTTTGGAAAGTCAGCCACAGACAACCCTCTGGAGCACAGTTCTCATCTGACGTACACGGAGTCGCTATAATTTAGGGTTAACTCAGAAACTGGGGGGAGAGGTGGTAACATGTGCAAGGCACTAGTGTTATACATAGATCTCATTTAAGTTTCCTGGCAACTCTTTGGAAGACAACATTTCTATCTCCAGTTCACAGAAGAGAAGATATTTAAACAAATTAAGTCACACAATGAGTGGAGTCCATGGAAAAGCCACTAAAAGGCACTAAAAATCTATAAACTCTTCACCATGCCCTGAAGATCCAACACCATCTGGGCCTCATTCCCCTCCAACGTGGCTCACACCTGATGACTTCCCTACACCAAGTCTTTCTTGCCCAAAGCTCCATCCATCTGTCTCCTCTCCCAGGAGCCCATTTCCTCACGTCTTTCCTCACAGTCTCTTTCACCCTCCAGGTCTCAGCTTCGGTGTCAGCTGCTCAGAGAAACTTGCCTTACTGCTCCATGTAGGAACTCTGTCGCTTGCATCCCTGCCTCTGTCTTTTGTCCTCATTGCAATTCAACTGCTTACATTAACCTATTGCTTTGCCTGCCTGCTGCCTTTCTCACACAATAGAACATAAACTCACTGGCAAAAAGAGCTTAGTGGCTGCCCACAGTGTCCTAGGACCAGAGCACTGGTGGACGAGTGGGTAAAGGGATGCACTGCCAATCCAAAGGTATGCAGTTCAAAACCACCAACTATTCCATGGGGAAAAGATGAGTAATCTTGTCCCGTGCAATTCACAGCCTCTGAAAATCTGCAGGAGAGTCAGCTATGGGTTGGTTTGTTTCATCTTGATGTCAGTGAGTCAAATTTGAAGCTCCACATCTGTCTGGCACACAGCAGATGCCTGCTCAGAGAAGCTTCAGGTCACTCTATGCCCAGAAGGCTATTTGGTGAGGTCCGCTGCCTCCCACACCCCACTGCCCCCAAAACCAGAGTCCGAGCAGCCATGAGCATCCAGAGAGGGAAGAAGTCAGACCCACCAGACACCGCTGCTCTGCACTCTAGGATTGGCTCTGCCCTTGTAGGGACGGTCCCTCCTGGTCTCTTCCTAATGAGAGCTTTTCTGACTTTAGCACTGGCCTGTTGGCAACCACCACTCCAGAAAGAAACCCTGAAATTGGAAGATGTTCAGAGACGAAATATCAGAAACAATGAGGGACCAGGGGAAATGGAATAATTAGAAGAGATGAAAAGACCCACACTCTGGCTTCTGCCAGCTCAAACGGAATAGGGTAATTGTGCTCGGCTCTAAGGGGTGTGACACCCGCAAAGGAAGGGAAGTGTTGGGGCTGACATGTGAGGGGATAATTATGTGAAATAGAAGATGACTCCCTGGGAATTTTAGGCTTAATGGCAGGAACCACGGCCTCCTAGACAAAGCTCTGAGATGGAGCAAGAATTTCATAACAGAAGGAGTGGGCAGCACCCCTAATGGCACTTACGTCCGACTTAAGTTCAAAGTACTCTTCACATATGGTGGCTTCATACTAGAAGGCTGGGCCAGTGTTAGAGCTAATCTGATGGCCGTGTGGTATGATGGTCAGTTGCCCAGGCTTTCTTCTGAAACAGAACTGCCTTCCAGTCCCAGCTGTCACCTCTCTAGCACTATGAGCTTGGGCACGTGTCTCCACATTCCAAAGTCCCTGCACCTCTGAACAGCATCCCCTATATTATAGGTTATGGTGATAGTTAAAGATAATAATACATGTGAGCTGATGTCACAGTAGCAAGTAAATGAAGAATGCAGGTGTCAGTTCAAATCCCTGCAGAGAAGCTCCTGAGATCTTGCTGGGTCCTCTGATTGACCTGTTCTAGGAGAGGATAGCACCAGAGCCCAAGGATCCCAAGGCTTTGATGGGCCCTGATGTGCAACTTCACACAGGAACCAGGCAGGAAATGCTGCTGCAAAGTGGGTGGCAGGCTCCAGAGAGATATTCCAGTCCTGGCAGTGTGGGATTTCGAGGAGCTGGAAAAGCTGGCTTGGCAGGTCCAACACGGAGAACAAGAAAACCCCAGCTAGCTGGCACACTGGGCCCCAAGCCCTCGGGCCTTGGACCCTTTACGTTTCCTTTCCAGCCTCTACTACAAAGGTGAGAGCTTGTTTTAGACCATCTGTGCTACAACAGCTTTACAGAAAAGCGCTGTCCTTGATTCAAAGATGTGTGTTAAGAGTTCAGAGATGAATGAGATCATCTCTGGGGGTGGGGGTTGGGGTAACAGAGTTTGGCTGGGTGCATAGCAAAGCAGGGGAGGAAGCCAAGCTTCGAAGGCCAAGGGTGAGATTAGGCAAGGCCTTGTTCCCTACTTGTGGCCTCTGAAACTGAGTTGGCTTCCAAACTCCTTAAAATGAAAATCAGAGTGGTAGCAGTGCTGATAGGGGTTGGAGCTGGGGCTATTAGGTACCTTAGAGATGCCTGAGATGTGCTGTTGTTTGTGACTCAGATTGTGACTCCACAGGATAAAGCAGAACCACCCTAAAGTGTTTCCCAAGTGAGTCTGCAGATCACAGAGCTAGGGAGCTTGGGCAGCCTGGTGGGTAAGGAATTGCACTGCCAACCCAAAGATGCTGTTTGAACTCATCAGCTTCTCCACAAGAGAAAGATGTGCAATCTCCTTCTGTGCAAAATGAAAACCGGCTGGAGGGTCAGTTATGGGTCATTCTGAATTGATAGCCGTGAGTTGAGTTGAATCTTTACAGATTACTTGGTCTTTCTCCAGCAGAGTCACTCAGTGCATTTGAGCCAACATCCTTTCTGTTTACAGCCAAACTCTTAACCATTGTAGCACCAAGGATGCAGAGAGAGAACCTAGAGAGTATATATGAAGGTTGATTCTCCACCCCACAACAACTTGCCAGAGGAGGAAACTTGCCCAGGGGAGTGACTGAGTGACCAATGGCTGTTTTCACCAACTACTTTCAACCTCACAGCCCTGTAGAAAGGGCTTTATTCTTCCCATTGCACAGCTTAGAAAACTGAGCTGAGCTTAACATCAGAAAAAACTGTGTGGATCCCTCCACCTACCCTGCTCACCTGTCCAGCCCCCAGACTCTCCCCACGCCCACTTCGCACTTGTCCAGGCAGCCTCTCTTCATTTCCCTACCTCCACATAACCCTTCAGACCTGAGCTTTTACAAGCTATTTCAGCCGTCTAGAACTTTCCATCTCTTCCCCTAACTGTACATGAATGTATACTTACATACACACATGCCCCAAACTGCCATGCAAATTCCAGCTCATCCTTTGAGAGACTAATCATGCTTTGCCTTTTTGAGGGTACTCTCACATCAACACCAGCACAGCAATCCATGCCCTCTTTTCTAGAAACATGAGCAGCACAGCCACCTGCTGAGCTCCTATGTGCCTCATGAGGCTAAGGCCAAGGTCAAAAGCATACTAGCCTCTGCTTCCCCAGCAAGCCTTTTCAGAATCAGAGAGACTTGACCTTGGGCCAAGTTCAAATGCTGCTGATACTGTATTGGGTTGTCCTGGGATACTGCAAATTTCTGTGACTTTTTAAAAAGTCTTCTTTCATACTTGTTCATTTCTATATATACACACCTGACCTAGAAGCTCTGGTGGGACAGTGGTTAAACACTTGCCTGCTAACCAGAAGGTCAGCAGTTTGAACCCACTAGCTGCTTGGCAGGAGAAAGATAAGGCGGTCTTCTTGCATAAAGATGTACAGACTTGAAAACCTCTGGAATGGGTCTATCCTGCCTACAGAGTAGTGTAAGTTGGAATCCACTCTAAGATTATGGGTTCTATTTCAGTTTTATTTACACCTGACCTTGGACCAGTATCATATACTGATGGACAAGGACCCACTTTCAGAGAATGATGCTCCTACCAGGAGAGAAGTGTATGAGATGAAAGGCACAATGTGGACTTGAGAACCAGCCAGACTCAAGTTCAAATCCTACTCTGCCTCACATCAGCTGTGTGGCCATGAGTAACTTATTTAATCTGGGCCTTTCTAGCCTCATCTATCTCGACACTAGGGTAAATAGTATCCTCTTAAATGCATTCTGTGAGACTTGGAAATAGTGTGATGGCAAGCACTAGGTGTCTCTCAGGAGATGACTATAACGTCTCTGTCCCTTCTCTTCCTAACCCCAGACCTGCCCTCACAGATGTCCTGTGCTGTCACCTTGCTGCTGTGTCTTGGGAAGCTTCCTACTCCTCAAAGACCATGGCAATCAGCCCAAAATCTAGTTCTGAGACAGGACCCGCCACTTCCTGACGGGGCTTCTTCAGCCCTGGTCCCTCACCTCAGGGACCCTAGCCTGTGACCCTGGCCTTAAGGGGAGAGCGGACATCAACTCACTTTCGGCACAGAAGTCCCAGAAGCATAGTTTCTGCCTCCAGTTTCTCCAGTAGCCTCCACAGAAGCCATTTGTCCAGGCCCTGCACCAGCTGCCAAGGCAATTGATTACCCTTCATCTTCACAGTCTCCTGAGGTGGTTGTTTGTTCTTGTCCATTGATTGTTACTATGTCAGTGGCTGCAAAATGCTTAGAAGTTAACAATGTGACACAGGGAGAAGGAGAGGGAAACTGGCATGTATTTAGTCCTAGAATTCTAAAGTCAGAGCCACAGAATGATGCAACCTACAGACACATGAAGCCCGGAGTCCTGGGACCTCAAACATTCCCAGCCTGGCTCACAAGATTCCTAATCAGTAAATGTGGGGGAGACTTGAGAACCTGTATTCAATTCCTCTGGGGAATCAGAGGTATCTGGGAACAACTGATCTATACAGCCTTCTACCAACACCCTTGGTACCAGCAGTCAGGAAATCAAGAAACACTATATTGCACTGGGCAAGTCTGCTGTCAGGGGCCTCTCCAAAATGCTGGAGAGTAATGAAGTCATTTTGAAGACTAAAGTGTACCTGATTTAGGGCATGGTCTTCTCAATCACCTGCTATGAATCAGAGAGCTGGACAATGAATAAGGAAGACAGAAGAAGAATTGATGTCTTTGAGTTGTGTTGTTGGAGGAAAGTACTTAATACTCTATAGACTGAAAAAAGGGCAAATAGATAGGTCTTGGGAAAAGTGTGGCCAGAGTGCTCCATGGAGGCAGAGATGACAATGCTTCATCTTTCATACATCTTTTGGGCATATCCCAAGGCAAGACTATTCCTTGTTAAGGGACCATCATACTTGGAAAGATGGAGGGTCAATGAAGGAGAAGATGATCCCTGGCCCAGAGACTTTAGCAATGGGCTCTAGTGAGTCTGAGATGATGAGGATGGTACAGGATAGAACTTAGGTTGGCTGTTCATAGGGACATATGAGTCATACCTGACTTGACAACAACAATAACCCAACAAGGAAGAGGCTCTGGTGGCCCAGTGATAGAAGCTGCTCTACCAACCCAAAGACACACATTTGGAATCTCCATGGGAGAAGGATGGGAGTCTCTTCCCATGCAAATGACTGCCTCTGGAAACCTGCTGGAGGGGCAGCTATGAGTTGGTTCTGACTCGACAGTACATAACAACTGCTCCCCAAGGAGTCCCTCCCACCACATCCTTGCAAGCTCTTTCATTCTAGAACAGTTAGAAATGCAGCCGGAAGAGCATAGGTGAGATGAGACTAGCCTGTCAGGTCCTGGCCCACCTTCTATGATTTGTTGTTGGTGGTGAGTCTGTCAAGTTGATTCCAACTCACTGCAATCACAAATGACAGAATTGCCCATAATGGTCTGTTGAGTGCAAATCTTTATGGAAGTAGATGGCCAGCTCTTTCTTCTCTGAGCTACTGAGTGGGTTTGACTACCAGTCTTTGCTAGGTTCGCAGCCTAGTGTTTAAGCTCTGACTCTTTTTTTCCTGTGATTAATAAAAAGAGAAAGCTAGAGTATCGAGTCTGGCTCATAGTGACCCCGTATCTCAAAGTCAAGCAGAGTAGGGTTTTACTCGCAGATGGTTTCCCGGCTATCATCTTTATCAAACTTCTTCGTTCTAGGCTAGGGGCTAGGCATTCAGATGCTGCCACTGTCTGCATAAGTCAGAGGCCTCAAGGACAATTGCCAGGCCTCACCCAAGTACACCCTGCAGACCCCTGGCCTCCCAGTCACCATTCTTGGCCTAGGGATGCCCAGAGTCCACTTGGCCAGGATTTCCCTGTCCAGCACATTGGGTTCCCACATGGTAACCGCCGCTGCCCCTCTTCTTCCATGGTAACCCATGATGCCCCTCAGTGCACATCCTGCTGTCGTGGGAACATCTGGCTGTCATTCACACAGAGTGCCAGGTACCGCACTGAGCGCCAGAGAACTTCCTCCTCCAGCCTGAGATCAGAGCTGGCCCTAGCTGGGAGCAAGCAGAGCCCTGTCTTCGCCGCCAAGTGCCACCTGGTTCCTGGAGCCATCTTGCCAACTTTAGATCTTTCTAAATACAGTGGAGAGAAATAATTATTGTTCCTCCCAAGATAACTGGGCTTGGAGTCAAAACACCTGAATTCTCATTTGGGCTCCACACACTTCCCAGCTGTGTGACCTTGGACGAGTGACTGGGCCCATATGGTAAATCTAAGTTGCTTATGGGGAAAAAATATCAAGCCAGATCACAACTCATAGTACCCTTCTCATCAGTGTCAGGATGTGTTCTACCTTCATCCTCGCTCCTTTCCCATGCTCCCCTTCTGGTCCTTTGGACAACAGGAACACACAGCTGTGGTCCTGGCCCAGAACCTTGCCTGTTGGTCTGACCAACACTGTTCTCTAACCAATACGATAGCCAACCACAAATTTGCCTTATATAAAAAGCTGCTTGCATGGGGTTGCCTAGCACCATGTCAGGTGAAAAGAGGCTCAATAAATACCCCACCGCTGCCATTCAAGTCAGATCCAGTCAGCCCTTATCACAACCCTATACAGTATGCCTAGCACCATGTCAGGTGAAAAGGGGCTCAATAAATACCCCACTGCTGCCATTCAAGTCAGATCCAATCGGCCCTTATCACAACCCTATACAGTAGAGCTGTCCTGTAGGATTTCCAGGGCTGTGAATCTCCATGGGAGCATATTCATCCTCATCCTCCTCTTGAGGAGAGGCTAGTGGATTCAAACTGCCAACCTTTCAGTTAGCTGTCCATGCTTATCCCATAGCAACACCATGACTCCTCATTAAATATCAGTGGTGTCTAATTTACTAGTGCCAATCTATATCTACAAGTAAAGTAAAAGATGCAAGTGTACCGCAGTGAGATACCGCTTTCCACTAAGATGTCTATTGTCAAAAAAAGAAGTAACAAAAGTGTTGGTGATGCTGTGGAGAAAATGGAATGAATCCTCATGCATTTCTGTGGATGGGAATTGTCTAAAATGGTGCGGCCACCGTGGAAAGCAGTTTGACAGTTCCTCAAAAAGGTACAGAATTACCATACGGGCCAGCAATTTCACTCTTAGGTATATCAGCCCAAAAGTGGCAAAAGGGACTCAGGCAGATACTTGTACTGGTGTACAAGTATATGTACTGGTGTACAGCAATATTCATTGCTGCGTTAGTATAATAACCTATAGAAACAAAATATGGCAGGTACACACAATGAATTACTCAGCCATAAAAAAATGAAGTTCTAACATATCATAGTACAGATGAACTGTGAGAATAATATATTAAATTAAATAAGCCAGGCACTGAAGCTACTTATTTTATGACCCTACACATGGCATGTCCCAAAGGGGCAAATCTACGGAGGCAGAAAGTAGATTAGAGGTTCCAGACTGGAGTAAGGGAAGAATGGGAAATTATTGACTATTGGCAACAGTGTTGTTTGAGGTGATGAAAAAGTTTAGGAAATGGATAATGGCTATATCACCTTATTAATATAATTAATATGACTAAGCCATATGCTTAAAAATGGTTCAAAAAAGCAAATGGTATGTTATACGGTAAGTCCCTGGATTACACACCTCCAACAAAGGAACAACTTGCATTTAGGCTTTAGTATTACTTAAATTCGCCTTCACTTTGAAATGAATGGACCAAGCCCTACTTGCAACACATTCTTCATCACAATCATCTTCACTTGGGCATTATACATCATGAATAACTGAAAATGAATCCAGCCTTTAACCCGCATCAA